ATGTCTGTTTTGCTTGGATAGTCTGAATCAATTTCACAATTGTATTGAATGTCTAGCAGTTCTGGTTTTTGTTCTGTTCCTTGTACTTTGTATATTCCTTTTGCTTTACACTTTCCTTTTGCTTTCTGTGAATACAATTGTTTGTCTAGACTCTTAAGCGTTTCTTCTACACTCTTAGATTAATAGTTCTGATCTCTATTGTCTGTGAGTACTATAGCATGTCTAGCTTTCGTTCTGTAGCCTGCCTGAAGCATTTCATGCTTTTCTGTTACTATACTATTGAGTCTACTCTTGTTTGATGAAGGAGTTACTTTCTCCTCTTCCTGGTACATTCCATTGAATTTGTACATTCTCTTATTCAAATCTTTGATGTCTATCAAACTGTGGAATGGGCTGACATGTCCTATGTCTATCTCAATCACTCTAGCTCTTACAATGTGTCTGAAGATCTTACTTACCTTCTGGAAGTCTTGTTCCTTATTGATTCTCTGTAGTTTTAATGTCTAGCTCTCCTAGCCTTGTCTGTTACTCTTGTCCTTCGAGTCCTGGCTGCTTTCTTTACTGCCTAAAAGGGTCTTAGGTGTCTCATTACTCTCTACATTACTGTTGTTAATGTGTTTCTGTTCTGAAGTAAGTGTGCTCACTAGATACTCATCCACACTCTCACTAATACTGACTATATACACTATGTACTCCTTGTATTGGCTGGCAAATTCTTTGATGCTTGCTGTTAGCTCTCTATATCAACTTGGTGAATCCTCAAACCAAATTGCCTGTCCTCTATTGAGTGAATCCTCAAACTTGGTAGTCTGAAATTGATTGAGCAAATCCTCAAGCTTAATTGCCTGTACTCAGTAAGTTGAATCCTCAAACTTGACCTTCTGTACTCAATTGGATGAATCCTCAAATCTAATCACCTGAGTGTTTCCACTCTTTGTACTGCTCTTTACTATTCCTACAAGCCTAGTAGTGTGAATACTTGCTAGTGTCTGCTCTACAGTGTGTGTTTGTCTAACTATATGTACTGGTACAGTTACATGCCTTAGTTCTATGTTATTAGTATGTAGTAGTTCATTAGGGTGCCTCCAGCCTTGTGTAGACAAGGACTTATTGCCTGGAATAAGTTCATTAGGTTGTCTCTAGCCTACAAGGGACAAGGACTTATATCCTAGTATGTTAGTATTAATATCCAGACTTGGGTACCCTCTAGGAATTGTCTGTTGAGGCTTAGTGGCCACATTGTAATCAATATTCAATAGGTAATCTTGTTGTCCATTGTCTGTAAACTCAATACACACCTGTTTGTTCCTTTTTGCTGTTACAGATGCCTAGTCCTCAACCCATCCAATCAATGCAAACCTCCAGCATATCCAGCACTAGTCTATATTGATATGTGATAATGTGTTCCAGAAGTGTTTCACAGTGTTCTGAAGCATTATGAACCTACTAGGGGCTAATCTAGTAAGTAGTCTCTGTTTCTACTCGAAAATTGTAACTTTACTCACTAAAAATTCCTGATGGGTACTAGACAATGAGGGAGACCTAGGGTTGATCAGACCCTTCAGTTCCTCAGTGTCCAGCAAGGGGTTTTGGTGCTAGGTGGGTACAGTCAAAAATATGTAAGGAAGCTTACTGTTCCTCACAAGAGAATTCTAATTGCCCTTAGTTCACTCAACTACTGACTGGGATAACCTAGTACTCAAGTAAGGGGTTAGGGGAAAAGAATCCCCTTTACCTAGCAGTCAATACTGTCTTTTATAAGGGTATACACGTGTAGATACATAAGGAGGAAGTGTAACTAACTACAATGAGAATATATATGCTTATGAGTCCCACTACACAATGATCTGACACAATCAGCAATATAGTAATAATAAAATACGAACCAGTAAATCAAATCCTTACACAAACATATAAAAGAAAGTAGTAAACAATTAAACAAATTAAACAAAATATCCAATTCTTCAAAGAAATACCTTCTTGAATTGAAGGGGAGAAAATGGATAATATGCACAAACAATTAATAACTAAATATAAAGAACAGAACAGAAAGTATAACAATACAGATGCTACAGAAATCCAGATGCTATAAATACTACAGAAAATAGAATTACAGAAAATAGAATAACAAAATACACAGATAAGTAATAGAAGTTACAGACAGACATAATGGATCATAAAGGTAAATCATTCAGTACAAAGCAAAACTACATTAATTGGAACAAATAACAGAAGTCAATGTAATGTGTGATTGAACTTTAATGTTAAATAAATAATAATTCTACTATGAAATGAATGCTCATACTCAGCAAATAATACAAATATGATAATATAATTAACTTAACAACGTTTAATACAAAAATAAATAAAATACAAACAAATATCATGTCACTTAACAAAATAATTCATTGATCTGGACTATAGTTTATAGATAAAAGTGATGAATAATGAAAATAATACTTTAGAATGTACATAAAACAATAAATAATATATCCATACAATAATATGAATATAATTGCAATATAATTTGTAACTACAACTGAACAATACACAGATAATAACTATATAAACAAGTATGGAGCACATACATATAATTAAATAAAACTATTAAATCAATTCTTGTACAAACAATTAATTTGCCCTCACTGTATAATTAATACAAGTGTGAACAGTATTATAATACTATGAAATACATTGGATAGATACTAAAAGGTATATCTATACAATGATTCAAATGAAATAAACAAAACTGATATATATGACATTCTACCTAGCAAACCAATTAACAAATAAAACGTCAAACAAATACTACAATTGTGCAAAGCACCAGATTAACTAAAGTATGCTGGGAGACAACTATAGTAAACATAATCCAATATATTACTTATATGCAGATTGTGTTACAATGCACTATTCTTTACAAAAGAAAAAGTAAAGAACAATAGCCATAATACTTATAAATATTCATAACATTATAATCACAACAAATTCACAATAACATTATAATAAATAATACAAACACACATTAGTAACAATTTACAACAGATAATTATGTTGGCTATTGAGAAATAATGTGACAGATTACATAGTTACTCAGGATGCATCAGGAAACAATTCATTACAGAACACAATATTAATATATTAATATATAAACATAAATGATAACATAAAGTAATACAAACAAACAAACAATACATGTGTGTTATAACATATATGACACACCTAGACACATAGTGAGCTGCATGTAGCCAGATATAACATTTATGTAACAAATATATGTTAGCATAAAACCTTATTGATCTTAGAATAAAGCAATCTGGCAAAAACAAATATTATTATTGATATTACAATATACAATCAATACAAAGCTTCAATCCAAAGACATAAATCAGCTATTACTGAATGCTTAACATATATACAAACGTAGACAAACACAGACAGTAATGATTAAAGAAGGATATTATTACAACATCAAATATACATTTTACTAGCATGATTCATTAGTTTCACAGCAAAGTAAAAGGGAATTACTAGAGTACTTGAATAAACTTAAAAACAAATGATACAATCAAATAACAAACAATAAAACAGAACAAGCAATTGCATTTGTGATTTAAATATGTACATATATGTACCTATGCATGCCAACAAGATTCTGCAGGTCTCTGAAGCATTTACAAATTATTTAATAACATTTACAAACAATCTATTATGATAACAATGCTGTTATTGAACAGTATACTATGAATGAACAAACTAATTGAATATATTTAATTAATATAACATCAAACAAACTTAACACAAAGTGGATGACATTCAGAACAGACAGTACACAGAACAGACAGTGCATTACTACAATGCTAATAATATTATTATTAACTACATCAAGTTATAAACACGTTACACGAACGAACAATTGTACAATGCAGTTATAATGATTAAACTATCTATACATACTGTAAGCAAACATCTTACAAGTCTACTAGACCTAGTAAGAGTTTGAAGGGGAGTGTTAAGACAAGACTACACAAGAGTATGTCTCAGATGATATAAACTACATTACAAGCAATGACGAGCAATGATGGAATACATTCCATCATACATCCTACATCTGAGACATACCTACATAGTATATATAGACTAACTAATCAACAGATGATGAAGCAAGTCACCAGAGAGCAAGCTGAGTCCACTATCCCCCCTCTGTGTGATCCCTCTAAGCCTCTCTCATAACCCCTTCCTAATACATGCACTTCCAGTCATACACTTAATCCAGAAGATACAAAGGTCTCAGAGTGATTGTTATGAAATGAAAGGTCAATTAATATAATCTATGTACATGACTACTATTACTATAGAATCTAAAACTGATAATTACAGCAAAATGTATTTTACATGCCAGACTAATACTACAATAGAAGCCATGTATAAGGAAGACTGTATCATATTATATTATATATTACACTACAAAATGTCATAATTTATATATAGTCTGCTCAGGTGTAGAAGGGAATGCAAATGTTTACTTGTATGTATGCATATACACAACACGTGCACACTGCAAAACCCTACAACAATGTCATGGAATCATGGATAAGTTAACTAGTCTTTATCATATGACGACGTGAACAAAGTAATGAATCTGGAATATTGTTAATTCGTGAATATTGCTTCTGGTGATCAGGAGCAACTGTGCTTTCTACAACAACACTATAATGTATAATTGAGATTGCTTTTAACAGTGTTGATACAAGGCCAATGATTATTTGACTCCCAAATAGTTTAATGTTATTGCTAACATGTTTGAGTATAATGTATGGATGAAAGTAAGTTGACGATAACTTACAAGACAAATACGATTCAGAAATATTGACTTGAGAAATACTGTCGGACATTGGTGACGCAATGTCACATTACGCGTTGCAGGTGCGCTTCCGCCACGAACTTCCAGCAGAGCAACCTCCTCTTCCACTAACATGTTCCAAACATTGTATCCGTGCATGATACCCAATTACGATCCTGAGAATGGATGTGACTTCGACCATTCTGGTACCACACACATCCTACTTTTCGATTGTTTTATGTGTACCCCTAGTGGCAACAACAAAGCTGGCATAAACAGCCCGATTATTGTGCGTTTTAAGGACAGGCTGGAAAACACACACAGGGAAAGGCAGGCAGGAAAGATTGACGTGCACATATTCGTGAGTTCTCTTGAGCTGTTATTCTACGTAACTTCAACCTTGGTTATTTCACTTTTTATAGAAGGCAACTAATCAACCTACGACTGACGAGCAGGGAAAGGAGGGAACAAAGCTTAATATACAGTCATTCAGCAAGACCCTCATGAAATTAGCCAATAGCCTGCCAGTGAGGGAGCAGAAGAAGGTTCTTGATGCATGTAGCCAGCAAGTAGTCGAAGCTTACAGAAAGCTCACCGAAGCATGTAAGACATGATAATGATGCAGTGACAGTTTCTTAACACATTGGATTAATAGATGTATGTGATGAAAATAAGAAGGTTAGGGACTACATCCTGATGTTTGGCGACGGATCTGGCGCTTGGGCTGCTAACAAATGTGCAAAAACCATAGAAAGGGTATGTATGCCTGTTGAGGTGTACCTGTCATTTGCTCATATTCTCATGAAACATAGGTTGGAGTATTGAAGTACTGGAATCCTTATGTTGTTAAAGAAGCATTTATACTTAGTAAGAAGTCCAATCCTGATTGCAAAGAACTCTGTAACTTTGTGAGCATACCTCTCAATCATCTTCACAATTAGTACTTTACTTACTAGTGATCTAGAGGCTATTCCGGGCAAACTATGCTCGAGTGGAAGTACTAGGCCTGTGGTACAATGCCAACACAACCCCAAAATTTGAGCTGGTACAGGAGGACACAGCATATATAGGGAAAGTAGCTGAATTCGAATGTGATGACTGTGAGCCAATTTGTCCCCTTGGCTATTGTGTTGCATTACTAAGGAAGAACAAACTGCTCTAGGTAAAGTCTACACAACAGGAGGTGATGATTCAGTAGAGTCTGCAGTCAAGGAAATGGTTTGTGTGGTCAAATCTGAATGTCCTCATATTTTATCTGTATGTCAACAGTCATACTATGTAGACTGACAATGTTGAGTACCACATCAGGAAAATGTCACATTTCTTGTAATTTCTTATAGACTTTGTAAAGTAACATGTGTATTGTATATACATTGTAAAGTAATTGTAAGGTTTGTAAATGAACTGTAATGTTTAAATAAGACATACTAATGTATATAAAGACTACATAAGTACTAAGGATGAATAAAATCTATTACATGTATTATACTAACTTTGTATGATAACCTAAAGTATTATACTTGTATTACATTTAAATTATAATCTTAAAAAAAGAGTTATATTTATAATATAATAATGTAATAATAACTATTGTTATCTTATAATTTATGCAAAAGGTATATTAATGTATATAACAGTGTAAGAGCACTTATTGTACCCTATTATCTTAATAAAAGTATACTATAAGTATATAATATGTACATTATACTTAGATTATCTTGGGCAACTGATACCTAACTTGCTTATGTAATCAACGGCTGAAGATCGAGAGCATATAATGACGCACTTATGCGTGCCACTCCTTCTCTTCACCTCCACACCTCTCTAAGTCTAACTCTCTGCCGTGCACCTATGTTGTTGTCTTT